AAGGGAATGTTACGAATATCTAATATTACGAGTATTTAAACAAAACAAAACAGCCCCCAAACAAACAAGTAATGAAAACACGAAATATCAGAGACTCGTGGATACCTTTAAAGTGGAGATCAGAGGAATATTCATAGCCTTAAACAGTTACATCAGTAAAAATAAAAGAATGGAAATGAATGAATGATGTCAACGTAAAATGTGAGAGAAAGGAAAACAAAAGAAAACACAGGAAGAAAACAATAAAGGTAAAAGCTGAAAAAGAATGGAGATTGGGAATAGAAAACAGTGGGTCAAAGTAATAAAACCCTGGTTCTTTGGAAAAAATTAAAAGCAGGGAAACTACTAGGGAAAGAAGAAAAACAAAAAAAAGAAATAGACAAGGGTGGGGCAAGAGAGTGGATGGGGAATACAAGTGAAAACAGAATGAGCCCGACTATTTGTCAAAAGAGTAAGTAACATAAGTGACATCAGCACTCTAAACGAGGCCGGCAGGAGAAGATGGAGAAATAAAACCTAAGACATTTTGGAACAGTATGTTGAATAAATCCGTGAAAGCTAAAGAAAAAACAAACAAGCAAACCCTGAAAACAATGTTGAACTCCAGTTAATAGCTTTGGTTTTTTTCACAGTGACATCAGTTGGATATTCTGACACGGCTTTGGGGGCCTTTTAGTATGAGCAAATAAATAAATATTTTGAGGGTAATTGGAATCAGGTTTCTGACTGTTTGAGATGAGCCTTACAGATGTGGAAAGGGGAAACTCCAGCATTGTATTGATTGGAAATCGATGTATCGGTATAAACTCATGGGTTTTAATATATCTATTTTTATCTATCTATCTATTGATAGAAATGGAAAGAGATAGAACTATATGTGCCTATCTATATCTACCTATATTTATGGATATCTCGGATATCTTGTAATGACAGAGCACAATGAAATGCTTGAAAAATGGTGGGGACAATCAAAAAGAGGAGTCCACTTAGACAGGGACAGAGAGACTCCCACGGACCAACTGTAGGACAGCTGTAGTCTTAAAATAAATAATAATAGGGGCCACCTGGGTGGCTCCGTCCGTTAAGCTGGTTAAGCGTTGGACTTCGGCTCGGGTCATGATCTCACGGTTGGTGAGTTTGAGCCCCATTTCAGGCTCTCTGCTGTCAGATCAGAGCATGTTTCGGATCCTCTGTCCCTCCACTCTCTGCTCCTCCCCCACTTGCGCTCTCTCTCTCTCTCTCTCTCTCTCAAAACTAAACTTAAAAAAATAGTAACAGTATATAATCGACAGAATATAATAAGAATCTGTAGACTATTCCGATATAAATGAATGAATAAATAAATAAATGGAGAGGAAGGAAAAGTTCTTCCTCGGAGTAGATCGCCAGCTACTGTAACGCAGAAGGAATGATGGAGTTAAGAAGTCATCATCTGCCAGCATCATGGTAATAAATGATTTGGGCAAAATCCATAACTGATCCTAGTAGTTTCATGAAGAACTTGGTATTTACATAGTCTCCAAGTATCTCCTCACAAAATTCTTCTTAACTGGAAAGGAAGAATAGTAACTTTACAGTGGAGAAACTTGGCCACTGATGGTTAGAATACTCATTATGTACCTGTTCGTTTGATGACTGAGAAGAACACGGCATTTCTCTTTTGGTGTTCCTGTCAAAAAGCCATAAACAAAACCATTCAAGCAGCCATAAACCTACTCATGAGGAAATGTTGGTCAAATCTAAATTGAGTAACATCCTACCAACTCTCTAGCCTATTCTCTTCAACGATATCAAGGTCAGGAAAGACAAAGAAATATGGAAGAAGTGTTCCAGATTAAAGACAAGAAAGAGATGTGACAACTAATGTGTGGTGTTAGGCGAGATTCTGAACCAGATTTTTAAAAATTGGGTGTGTGTGTGTGTGTGTGTGTGTGTGTGTTTTGCTAAAAGGGACATTTTGGGGACAATCAACACAATATGAGAAAGTATTTTAGATTAGAAAATGGCATTTTATTAATACTAATGTTCTGATTTTGATTATTATACTTCAGTTATGTAAGAGAATGTCCTTGTTATTAGGAAATATATACCGAAGTATTCAAGAGTAAAGGGGCATGCTGTTTGCTATCTAGTCTAAAATGGAAAAAAACTTTATATAGAGAGAATGATACAACAAATACAGTAAAATAGAAAACAATTGGGGGAATCTAGGTGAAGGATAACCAGGAGTTCTTTGTACTGTTGCACTTTTTCTATTAAGTTGAAATTGTTTCATTTTAAAAAGTAACAAAAAAGAAATATTCAAAAATACTTATAAGAACATGTAGAATAATTTGGTTCTATAGGATTTTTTGAATTCACACAAAATACAAACCATAATGGGAAAGAATGATGTATTTGAGTAAAGTAAAATGACACATTCATGTGCAACAAGGAACACTGTAAATGGAATTAAAAACAAGCCACGAACTATGAGAAGACATTTGCTATGCCTAAGATTATATGTATCTTAAAAATTACAATGACCAAATAGGGAAATCAGCAAAGGACATAAATAGATGAGCCACTGAAGAAGGTAACAAGCATGTGAAAAGATGACCAACTGCATAGCAATTAGGGAGAAATAAAATAACAACAGTATACCAGTGAACGTGTACTCAGATATGTTTACAATTATACAGTTGGCTAATAGCCATTGTAGAAAGAATGAGGGGGAAAAGGAACTTTCTTAACTGGTTCAACAATTCTGGAGATTGTGAAGCAAGATCTAGTGAAGCTGGAGGTGTTAACAGTTCCACCTTTAGGTGTGTATATCCTAGATAACATCCAAAGGAACAGGAGAGGGTTGTTCATTGCAGCATTGTCGATAGCTGGTGAAAAATTGAAAGCAACGTAATTGTTATTAACAGATGACATCAACAGATGACAACAGATGGATCAGTAATTTGTGGTATAATCATACAATGCATTTAAAATGAATAAAATATATCTACATGTGTTAACATGTAGAAATCTCAAAACCAAAATTTTAGGTGGAAAAAGCAGATAGCAGAAAATTATGGTGTAAAATTTATAAACACAGAAAACAATAATGTACGTTGTAAAGAAAACAATGATGCATGTTGTGAAAAATAGTAGGGGAAAATCTCCCTAAAGTGGAGTTGGGAGGCTGCAGGAGGCGGCTGGTACCACTCCATGTCAATTACAGGCAGAATTGTCAATTACAGACTCTAACAGAGGCCTCTTCAACGGAAAGAATGATCAATTATAGGCTCCATATATTGGAACAGATGTACATTGTATCTCCTGTAAGAAATCAACTATCCCTGCAACTCAGTCAAGGAGAAACTCTAATCACCCTCAACCCTTCCTTCTCTGCAATGACCTTTTGTTCAAAAGAACCCCTCCCAACGTCCTCCTTCTTCCCCATAAAATAACATTCCAATTCTTCGTTTTTTTTGGACTTTCTTATGGTTGTGCCATCGCTAGAATGTCCCAAATTGCAATTCTCTGCCTTTCCCGAATAAGCTCATTCTTGGTGGTAAAATAACTTTTATTTTTAAGGTTAACATTGTCTATGAATAGAAAAGGACGGGACATAGAGTTCCTGCCCTGGAGTAAGTTGGCATTTGAAGAGAGTCAAGTATTATTACAACGCAGTACCACAGAAGCCACAATGAGACTGGGACCCTAATACAGACGGGGGGGGGGGGGGCGGAGGGGGAGTGGAGAAGGTGAAGGAGTATTTCCCAGAAATGGCAAAGCCTTCCATGCCTCTTTCCCCCACTGAACCAAGTCCTGAAAAATAAGAAGGGGTTACCCAGGCGAAAAAGAGGAAGGAAGGGTGTTTCTCACAGATAATGACATTTACAAAATCCACAGGGGAGAAACCGCAGAGCCTGGTTTGGAAACTGCCAGTGGCTTCTCAGAGCTAGAGTAGACGAGGGGGGGCAAAGAAAGGGATGAGGGGTATTGCTAGGCACCCCCCGGACATAGGCTCTGATGGGGCTAAGGAGTTTCACTGCCTTCTGAAGGCTGTGGGAAGGCTAGAATACTGTGGCAGAAGAGTAACAGGTGCATCACCAGTTATGAAGAGGATGGCTCTAGAGGCAAGATCAGTTAGTTGGTGTTTTTGGTGGTTGTTGTTTTAAAGAAAACCAAGCAGGAAATAATGGGGCCTCGACTGAGCCAAAGGAGGTGGTGACTGAGAGATAACAACGTGTCCAACCAGTAGGACTCAGGGAGGGGCTGGCTGTACTTAAGGGGAGAGGATTCCAAGAGGCCCCTGGCCTGGGCAATCTTGGGTGCATGACGGAATGACAGGGGCTGCGTTTTGTGCCACCTACCCCTCTCTCTGGGCACCCTGATTAGACCGGGGAACGAGCACCTTACAGATATTTAAATCAAGTATAAAAATGAGGGAAGGACAAGAGGGAAGGACTGAGAATGGTGGTTACCCCTGAATGGGTTTTCATGGGGTGGGGGTGGAGGGTGTGGTTTTGGATTCTTCTCGAGCGTTTTAACTGCAAAACAAAAGCTGATGTCAATGTAACATTAAGTGGTGTCGCATTTCCGTGAGCACACGGATGTCCCATTGTTTTCTGCAGTCTTCTTGTGCTTGAACTAAATTGAATAAGCAAATGGCAACACAATGGGGTTAGAGTCGGAGGAGCCTGAGGTCTATTAACGGGTTAAACGAGAAAGCAGCGGGCGGGGGGGGGGGGGGGGGGGGGGGGGTGGGGGGTGGGGGTCTCAGTCTTTGTGCGCACAGCACGTGTGAAGAGCCCGGCTCTCAGCTGGGTGGGTGAGGGTGGGCGGGGGAGGAGGAGCGCTCGCGAAGCTTCCAGCCCGGCCCCGCCCCGGCCCCGGCCCCGCCCCATTCCGCCCGGCCCCGCCCCTACCGCTCCCGCAGGGCTCCCGCCTGCTGCAGCTCCTCCTCCTTCCGTGACGCCGCCTCCCGTTTCTAGGTAACGAAGGGGGGGTTTAAACAAAGCTGCTGCTACCTTCAGGACCCCGTCTTCTCGGCCCCTTAACCCTCGGACGGCGAGAGCCATGGCCCTGCCGCTGCTGCTTGGCAACAGCTTCAACCGCAATGTGAGTAGTGAGGGCGCCCGAGGTCAGAGGTCCTGGCCAGAGTCTGGGGCCCAGGTGTGGTCACCTCCCCGGACCCTACTCAGCCCTCCCGCTGCTGTTCGACCTGTGGATTGGGCACAACTCGCACCAAACTTTGTAGGCTGGTGAAACCCTTACTCTCTGCGTCCCCCTCCCCGTCTCTCCACTGGCATCTGGATGCTTTAACTACATTAGATACATAAGGAGAGTCTTTATTTGGCAGGACCCGCCAAGGTAGCCAGTGGTAGTGACAGTGATAACAATCATCGTTACGCATTTAAGGAGTGCCAGGTGTTGTCCTTTAGTCACCCGACGCGCCATTTGATGCGTAGCTATTATCTTTATTCCCATTTTACAGTTGAAGAAACCGAGGCACAGAGCGATGAGTCACTCACTCACAGGCCGGAGCTACCCAGTTTCAGTGTGAAATTGGGTTTCTTCCAGGCAGCCTGGCTTCACAGCGTAGGTGCCTAGGCGCTGACTTTAATATACCCTGTGTGAAAGAAACACAGTTACTGTTACTAAAGCGAAGAAACCTGGCGCTCTGAGGCTGCCGGGGACAAGTAGGAAACGGTTTATTCCACCGGCCTGTGAAATTTGATCCTAAACTTTATAGCGGGAAGCATCCAAGCTTGGAGGTGTTTTTCTCTTTGTTTGGAATTGGGAGGCGTTCATTTCAAAGCGAGATAAACCCTTTTGACTTTATGGATTCGGAAGTGTCTTTCCAAGTTGTTGGTCCTTCAAGTCCCAGTTTTCTTTGGAGCTTCGGGCCACCGGATTCTGACCTCCACGGGTCAGTTGGCCGGACCAGCTTGCACTGGTTTGTGCATTTTTTTTTTTTTTTTTGGCTGAGGGGGTAGGGGCTGGCGTTCCAGCCTAGCATTGCCCTTTGCTGAGAGGAAGCCAGCCACACAGGTAAGACAGACCCCAGAGAGGCAGGGCATGAAAAAAAAAAATTCCAGAAGTAAAGAAGCACACTGCGTCAGAGTAGTTTTGATAAAAATTGTAAGTAATGGGATGATCACAAAACGAACCTCAAGAAACAAAATATTACTAGTATTCCAAAAGCCTCTCCCTCACCGGGCGTTGCTGGATTTAGCAAATTCAAATATATGTCCCCAATACTGCATGGGACCTGCTTATACTAAAAGATTATTTGTGTTTGTTTCAAATTCAAATTTAACTGAACATCTTATATATGTGTATTTTTAAGTTTATTAGAGATAGCACGTGCACACACACGAGCAGGTGCATGCATGAGCAGGAGGGGAGCAGAGAGAGCGCAAGAGAATCCCAAGCAGGCTCTACACTGTCAGTGCAGAGCCGGATGTGGGGCTCGAACTCCTGCACCGCGAGATCAAAACCTGAGCCGAAATGGAGAGTTGGATGCTTAACCGACTGACCCACCCAGGCGCCCCTGAACATCTTCTGTTTTACGTGGCAACCCTACGTATCCCCCTTTCTGGTCATTACCCCTTTCCTACTGTCCAGAGTTAACCATCCTGGCTGCCCGTGCCTATAGTTAAGTTTTGTTTGCTTTTCATAAATGTCTGGTGTCCTTTTGTGACTTGAGTTTTTTGAAGCTCAGTATTGTTTGTGAGATTTGTTAATGCGGCTGTCTGTGGAGGTCATTTGCACATTTTCATTGCTCTTTCGTATTCCATTGTGTGAGTATGACATTTATATACTCCTTTTAGTCTTGAGAAGAGATTTGGTATGTTTGGGGTTATTAAGAAGAGGTTGTTCACGTCTGTTGGTACAATCGCTAGATCATACGGTTTTTATTCGTTCAGCTTTAGTACACACTATCAAAGTGCGTCTGCCGTTTTAAATATCCACTGGCGTTTTATGTTCCTGTCTCTCCACATTCTAACACTCGATATTGTTGGTCTTTCACGTTTTACTTATTTTGATCGGCGAGTGTAGCGAAACTCTAGTATCCGTCTGCACCCAACCTGATTCCTAAGGAACTTGAGCACGAATTTACACCTTTATTGGTCATTTCTCTTTTGTGTAGTGTCTGTGTATGTCTTGTCTAATTTTCTACTAGGTTGCCTCTCCCCTCCCCCCCCCCTTTTTTCTTCTGTAGGTTTTGGGTAGGACTCTTTCTGTCAGACATCTGTGTTGTAAACCTCTTCTTGTCTGTGGTTGGCGTTTTCACTTAGTGGTGTGTTTGATGAGTAATTTTTCCTTTAGATTAGTGGTTTTGTTTCCTCTTGAAGAAATTGCTCCTTATGCCAAGTTCATGGTATTTTTCTGTGTTATCTGTTGGAAATTTTGTTTTTACCTTTCACATTTATTTAGTTTTGTGTTTGTCCATTTATTTTTGAGAGAGACATAAACAGCGCGAGCAGAGGAGGGTCGGGGAGAGAGAGAATCCCAAGGAGGCTCCGCACTGTCAGTGCAGAGCCCGCCACGGGGCTCGAACTCTCAAAACCGGGAGATCGTGACCTGAGCTGAAACTGAGAGTTGGACACTTAATCGACTGAGCGAGCGACCCAGGTGCCCCTTACCTTTGACATTTAGATTTCTAATCTAACTAGTAAAAATGTGTCCGTGTGTGTGTGTGTGTGTGTGTGTGTGTGAGAGAGAGAGAGAGAGAGAGAGAGAGAGAAAAGAAGTAGGCGGTCAGGTTGTATTTTTTCCCATATGGATATTCAGTTGACCCAGAACCATTTGTTCAAGGATACAATTCAATTGATTCGTGAATGGACAGCATCCAGTTGAGCAGACAGAAAAGAGCTCTGAAGAGCTGTCCCGGGAGGACCAAGACGTTTCATAGGCAGAAGGGGAACGTTATACTAGGCAAAAATTGAATTGGTTACCATTAAGTTATTTTCTTTTTACGGGGTGACAGATTACGTAACTAGTGCTGATCGGGAGATTCATGATTGGCTGGTTTAAGATTCTCTTTCTGGGATAGCCCAAACTGTAAGTTAAGTTTTAGTTCGTGACCTGGGGCTTAGCATGATCGGCTCCATTTAGGGCCTGCTGTCTTGTCTTTTTAACACAGTTTCTCTACTTCTCTGCCATAGGGATCCAAATACACGTGGGTCCGCTTCTAGATGCGCTAGTGTATTTGAAAAAAAGTATTTACTTGATGCCTCAGACCAGTAGGAGCGTGTGCGTGCGAGCACGCGCGGGTGCGCGCACGTTTTAGGGAATGACCATATACTTACTAGGTACCTCGGGCTGTCATTTAAGAAATCACTATTTGTATATTGGGCGTCCTTGTCTGTGTCCAAATCACATGGCTGCATTTAAATTTTTTTTTTCAACCTTTATTTATTTTTGGGACAGAGAGAGACAGAGCATGAACGGGGGAGGGGCAGAGAGAGAGGGAGACCCAGAATCCGAAACAGGCTCCAGGCTCTGAGCCATCAGCCCAGAGCCCGACGCGGGGCTCGAACTCACGGACCGCGAGATCGTGACCTGGTTGAAGTCGGACGCCCAACCGACTGTGCCACCCAGGCGCCCCAACCACTAACAATTTTAAAGTGTACCTACCATTCAGTGGCATTTGATGCCTTCACCAAATGTTTTGTGACGATCACCTTTATCTAGTTCAAAGACATTGTGATCATCCGAGATCTGAATCTTTTTACCTTTTCAGCTCTGGGGGGACTCCTGTGTACAAGTGATTTGTACAGCCCATGGTATGATAGCATGATCCATGAATTGTTGATGAAATGATCCAGTAATAATGGTCTCTTCTCTGTAAAGGCTAGTCAGTTTCCGTGGATTTGTTGATTTCAGTCCACTTACCTGATCTGTGTGGTTTTCCCTTTCCCGCAAAGGATGCCAACTGTAATGGAAGGTGGGGAGCATCGTAGAGGAAACTTTAGGGGCTTTTTCTTTACTGTAAAATTTCCTACTTGATTCTTTCCCCTGTTTCCCTTATCCACGTAGACCTAAAAATCCTCTTATAGTTTCTACCGTAGAGGGCCCTAGTAAGGTATGATATGTGGTACATGGGATGAGCAAAAGTCGTTTTCCTTCCTATTTAAAACTAAAAATGACCAGTTTTTCTTGAAAAGCAAATACGCGATCAAGCTTAGCTTACTTACGTTTCTTTCCTTTTTATACATTAAAAAATTTCATAAGGCAGCATAATACATTTCTGTTCAATAACGGTTTTAATCTGAGATAGGGTTTACTTTTTTAAAAAGTAGGCTCGGGGCGCCTGGGTGGCGCAGTCGGTTAAGCGTCCGACTTCAGCCAGGTCACGATCTCGCGGTCCGTGAGTTCGAGCCCCGCGTCAGGCTCTGGGCTGATGGCTCAGAGCCTGGAGCCTGCTTCCGATTCTGTGTCTCCCTCTCTCTCTGCCCCTCCCCCGTTCATGCTCTGTCTCTCTCTGTCCCAAAAATAAATAAACGTTGAAAAAAAAAAAGTAGGCTCAGCTGATTTACTTTAAATGAAGGTTGTAAATTCATTTTAATTAATGCTGTTTACACCATGAAAACACATTGACAGTGTTAAATAAGTTACTGAAACCATATGGCAAAGCGATAGCAATAAAAACCTAGCCTAAGACTTATTTGTTTAAAGTTTATTTTGAGAGAGAGAGAGAGAGGGAGGGAGACAGGATCCCAAGCAGGCTCTGTGCTGTCAACGCAAAGTCCAACGTGGGGCTCGAACCTTCCAACCTGGAGGTCATGACCTGAGCTGAAATCAAAAGTTCGATGCTCAGCCGACTGAGCCACCCAGGTGTCCTGAGTTTTGAGAGTTCTTTAAACATTCTGGATACAAGTCCATTGTTGGATATGTGCTTAGCAAATATTGTCTCCCAGCCTGTGGCTCGAATTTTCATTCTCTTAAAACAAGGCTAGAAAATATGCATACATTTTTACAGATAAAATACAACATGAATCCAAACTGATATTTCCAATGCAAATGAAGGATTATAAGGTTTTTATTTAACTTCTTTGATTCTGTATTTATCTTTTACTTATATTGAGAATCTTGATTCATAAGGATGTTAG